TTAATCTAATAATAAAACATGACGTTTTTTTAAAGTATGAATTCAAGTTTTAAATTTGTATATTTACTTATACATTTAAAATATACTTAATATATTAAAATTATTTTGGTTTAATTAATGACTTGTAAAAATACTAATTAAATAAATATACATGTCTATTAATTTGTCCAATTAAATTTGTTTTATTATCATTGTACTTTTTTATTATTTGCAGAGGTCCTGTGGGTCTTTGAAAAGTCTTAAGTATTAAATTAGATCTTTAAAATTTAAGGTAATAAAAAGTCTTAAATTTGAGAGGTCTTAAATTTTGCATCAAGGTGTGACATTTCTACTGAATTTCATTCGCTGATGTTTATTTTACTTGTGCACTTATTCTTAAGCCTTGTGTGCTGTTGAGGATATTAATTTGGGGACAGATTTCTTTGTTTGAGCTCATGAAATGATTTTTGGTGACATGTTATTTTTACTCATATTTTGGGAAAATGCTTTTAAATTTTTAAAAACCTCAACAATACACTCTGGGCAAATGTATTACTCTTTTGTTATGTTTGGGGCTGATTTTGTCTCATTGACTTTCATTATAACAATGTTCTTTAATTGCAAGGTCATGACAGTCACAGTATATTAAATATTTTCGATCTTTAATGGTTTTTCTTGTTAGGAAAAGGTAAAATTTGTCATTTTTATAATTGATCATCAGTTGCAGAGCAAAACATTGCAAAGGTTTGTGGTTTTTATATAGAGTTATACGGAGTATAGTGTGTGTGCACGTGTGTGTGTGTGTGTGAGACTTTTGCAAACATTGTTTTGAGAGTTGCTTATTTAAATTTTTTCAGACATGTAGTAAACATAGTAAGTGTATTTATGCACACACACTCACACTATCATTTACTGTTTATACTCCAAAGAACTCCATATAAAAGCCAGAAACTTTTTTGCACAGGACTATCTAAATGGTTATGCTTGTCAACTGATCATCAACAGTAAAAATGACAAAATATACATCTACCGAAAAGGGAAGAAAACCAGCAACAATGCGTGATTACATGCTGTCATGGATTTGCATCCAAAAAATGTTATAATGGAAGTCAATGGGGCAAAAAAACAGCAACTAACATAAGGAAAGGGTAGTAAATATAAATAATACAGAAGGGTTAAGGTGAACAATTATGACCAGGTATATTGATATACAGTGGGTCTGATCAGAAGTTATTTCCACATTCAAGTGGCCAAATCTGTGGTTTTCAGGCCTTAAACCTTGTGTAATATTATTTAAATTATAATGCAAAAATGCTTCCTTGACATTGTTTAGTTTTCATCATATTGCTGTATTGTTTGCCTTTCAATTATTTTTTTCAAAATTCTTTTTAGTTAGTCTTAAAAGATCTTAAATTTAACCTGAGAAAACCTGAATAAACCCTGTAAATAATTGTGAAGAAGTCGTGCTTGCAGATCATGCACAAATATATGTTCGCCAGTATGCAATCATAAATGATTGTTATAATATTTCACAGGTATCAATGTGGGTGTGGGGAGGGCCGTTAAGGTTTTGGTTTTATTTACATTTGATTTCTTCTGACTTTTTACAAAATATGTTTCAAAAACAATGTCTAATAATGGTTTCTTTTTATTTAAATATAGGGCAACCAAAAAGAAGAATTTTTGAAGGACCTGACAAACACTGCCATGGCCATATGTGTCATCAAAAGGAAAGAGGAGATTATGAGGACATTGGCATCGTTGTGGATGGAAAAGTGATTCTTGAACAGATAAAATCTCTTGCACAAGCCTGTGCACTGATGTTGGGGGCAATTTATGTGCTTGATTTGGCCTACCCAAAAGAACTCAAATACTATTACGAGTTTGCCCAAAAAGTACTTGTGCAAATGAACTGACCAGCTCTCCTTAAAGGTTCTCATACTGGAAAACAGTGCGATGCTGTAATTTAAAGCATTGAAGTGTTGATAAATGCTCAACAACCATATGTATATCATATACAAATTGCAGTTTAGAGTAGGAATTGTTTAATAAGTGAATTAAGTTTTCTTTGTGTGCAAAATTAATTTGCTGTAGGAACTTGTTTTAAATTGTGTGTGTGTGTGTGTGTGTGTGTGTGTGTGTGTGCGAGAGCATGTGCATTTTATAAACTTTGTATTTATTCCATTTCATACAACTTGTAGTTGCTCAATCTGTTAATGAGTTAATTTTTTTTTAAGTTAATTAGTTGATTATTTTGTGTATTGGGGTGTGTGTGTGTTTCATAAGAATTGCTGTTTGCTCCAAGACTTCATACAGTTTTCTTTTATGTGTTGGTTTAAATTAAATGTGCTGTACAAACTGTTTATTGTTTTATGGTGTGCTGCTAAAGCATTCATAGGCAATGATTTATGTTTTGTTAAAAAATGCATCTTAAAAAGTCATTAAAATGAATTTAAAACAAATGTGGTCAAGTGTCATTTCAAAGTGTATTTGCAAGCAGTTTAATGATCATTTTAGACAAAATCAAAAATAAATAGATGTAAGTAGGAATAACATAATTAAATTATAGTGAACTAAATAAATTTCATTGGATAAATGTAACTAAATATAATTGATTAAATCCAACTTATTTTGATTGTTTAAATCCAACACATATAAATTGAGTTAATCCAACCTAATTTGATTGTTTAAATCCAACACATATGAATTGAGTAAATCCAACTAAAATTGTTTGCTTAAACTTAACCCAATTCAATTATTTGCAACAGCTTGCCTTAAAAAAATTAAGTAAATCCAATGAATCATTTTTTTCAGTGTACTGCAGATGGGCACATTGCAATATTAATGCTGATAAGATATATTGTACAGCCTATAATGAAGAATATTATTGCATAGCTTGCTTTAAACACTTGAAAATGTGCACGTATTTTTGGTTGGTCTGTTTTAAAAGATTTTACCTTTTTTTGCTAGTTTATATATATATATATATATATATATATA